CTAACAGCTGTGGATCCCAATATGCCTTAACCATACCAGCCAAAAGGGTCATTAGGCTCAGAATGAACCTTTGACCTTGATTTACGCTAAAAACTGAGAAAAAAAATAGCAATACTAGAACCTAAAAGCATGAACACCCAAGCAGTAGTCTTTAGGTTGATGAGTAAGGGAAGCCAGCCCTACAAAGACGTACCCATGTTCCAAGCCCTCCTTGAAGTCTCCAACGTGGTTACGTCCATCAGGCCACTTCAGCGTCCCCCTGCAATTCACAGCAAGCATCAGAAAAGCTGATCAACCTCTTTATGATTCTCTGACTTAAGCTAAAACGCAAGCACTACCCCTGCCCTTGCTCCAAGACACTTGGCATTAGGGTTGGGACTCTCTCTCTCAGTATAAAAACTCAGGGAGGGTCACAGATTCACAGACGTTTAGGGCTAGAAGGGACCTCATGAGATCATTGGGTCCAGCCCCCCCTGCTCTGGGCAGGAAAGACTGCGGGAGTCAAATAGCCCCAGGGAAAGTGTGCGTCCAGTCTCCTTTTGAAGATCTCCAGGGTAGATGCCTGCACCACCCCTGCTGGGAGTCTATTCTGGAGTCTGGTCACATGAACCATGAAGAAGTTTTTCCTTGTATCCAGTCTGAAGCCTTCTAGCAGTTTATGACCATTGCTTCTGGTTTTCTCCTGGGGCGCTTTGGTAAATAGTTGTTGGCCTGGCCCCTGATGCTAGGCCAGAATTTGGAACAGGTTTCCAAGGGAGGTGATGCTCTCCCTTACCTTGGGGTCTTCAAGAGGACACTGGGTAGGCATCGTCTGACCCCAGTGCTCTTTCCTGCCCAGGGCAGGGGGTCAGACTTGATCATCTGTTGAGGTCCCTTCCGACCCTAGCAGCTATGAATCTATGTTCTCCACGCATTTATTTGCAAACTGCCACCAAATTCCCCCAAAGTCTTCTCTTTTCTAGGCCGAACAGTCCCGTATCGGTCAGCCTTTCCTCGTATGGATTGCTCTTCAGGCCTCTAATCATATAAGTGTCTCTTCTCTGGACTCTCTCAAGCATGTCCACATCCTTCTTGAAGTGCGGCGCCCAGAGCTGGACACAGTGCTCCAGCTGTGGCCTCACCAGTGCCAAGGAGAGTGGGAGAATAACGTCCTTAGTTTTGCTTGAGATGCATTGGTTGATGCACGCCAGAGTATTGTTTCCTCTGCTAACTGTAGCATCACACTGGTGGCTCATCTATTCATTTTATGGTCAATTATGGTCAATTAGGTCTAGGATTGTTCTCCAGAGTACACATATCGACTCAAGTGTTTGCGCCTTGGTGCAGAGCTAGGAATCAATAAGGAAAGGGCACTCACATCCAGAGCATTTTTTATAGCCATGATTTCATTCTGCCACGATGATATTCATGGTCTCATTGCAAGTCCAGCATTTCAGGGAACTGAGCTGGACAAATCCAATTAAGTAACGCTTTTGATATATTTGCTGCAAATCGAGACTCAGCTCACTTCACAGGCATGATGTCAAGGCTGCGATGATTTGGGCGTTTTCATCAAGGTGTAAGTGCTGGTCAGAGACAACTCTTCGTTGTAAGAGCTAATCAAGTTTGAATCCTCAAAAATGTTTAGCAACCCAAATAAGCAAAGCCCAGCAAAATTGGTTTGTGAAAGTGTTCTGAGAAGATTTAGAGGCAAACTTTTGCTAAAAATGTTCATTCAGCTCCAGTCCCATTGTCCACAGCATAGTGGCCAACCTGTGCACATGGCAGGTCACAGAATCACAGAAAATTCAGGCTGGAAGGGACCTCAGGAGGTCACATCTAGTACAACCCCCTGCTCCAAGCAGGACCAGCCCCAACTACATCATCCCAGCCAAGGCTTTGTCTAGCTGGGTCTTAAAAAACCTCCAAGGATGGAGACTGCACCACCTCTCTGAGTAACCTGTTCCAGTACTTCACCACCCTCCTCGTGAGAAAGTTTTTCCTAATATCCAACCTCAACTTCCCTTGCTGCAGCTTTGCTCAGCAGAGATCAAGCAGCAGAATAGCAGGTAGGACAGGGAGTACAGAGAAGGAAAGAGAAACCAGAGCAGCAGGTTGGGCTGGGAAAGGAGATCAGAGTAGCCCTCGGGACGGGTGCAGGTCTAATTTGTGACATGCCTGCCAAAAAGGTTGACCCCCACCCCCCCCAACTCATCTAAAGGCTCCAAGTCACTCCATGGATCTGACAAGTGATTCTCAAATGCAAGGAGGTGCCAAAAACGTGCCCAAGTGCCCAGAGATCGACAATGCTCACAAAAGCTTTTAATTTAGAATTACAGATTGCAAAAATAATAATAATCATCATCATCATCATCATCATCTCAGTTGCACTTTCCAGATTAGGATGCAGAACTGGAACCCAAGACCTTAATCCTACTCACAGCCCTGCCACTGGCCCGCAGACACTTTGGGCAGAAAATACTAATCTTTATCTGCTTCCCACTGAAAAGAGGTACTGAGCTCCACTCTGTAAAGCACTTGGTGATTTACTGATGAAGAACTAGGGATCATTATGCTATAGCATCTAGGAGAGGGAGATAAGTAAGTGTACCATTTGAAGAGTAGGTGAGGGAGAAGGAGATGTATTGCTCTTTGATCCACAATAATTGCTTCATCTGTCAGCTTCCACCCCATGGGGACTGGAAGGTAAACCAGACAACTCTATGTCACTTGGGGTAAGATGAATTACTCAGGCTTAGCTTCATTTGCTGCAGGATTGGAGTGAATGGATGAAATGGTTACAGTGAGTCAGCTGATGTACGCTCACAAATAGGAAATCCCCTTTATAACAGGATAATTGTTCACCCATCCCTGCCCCAACCACAGATCAGGACACTATAGTATAAGGTGCTAGCCCTATAGAAAATCCATAAATCCTATAGAAAATCCATACTCCCATTTTGGCACAAAATGAGACAGGAAGGAACAGATGTCTGGGCATTATGATGGAAAAGCTAGATTTCATAAAATTATGGAGAAGTCGGGCTGGAAGGGACTTCCAGAGATCACCTAATCCAACCCTTTACCTGAGGCAGGATCATCTCTATCCAAACCAGCCCAGACAAATCCATAATCTAACCTATTAATAAAACCTCAATCAACCCTGACAACTCAAGACATCACACCCAACCTGCCACAGGTAAAGCAAAGGGGACTACGGCGACCAAAGTCCTGCTGCTATGAGGGTTGTTAAAATACCTGAAGACCTCCCCTTTCGGTCTGTAGTTTCTTCTTTCTTCTCCTTGTCCCCACCCATGTGCTGTTTTCCTTCCTGCATCAGCACAGAGGCTGAGAACCACCTACTAGTTTCCCAAACACATTTAGCAAGAGCTGCAGCACTAGGGTTACACAACACCTGCATATTTGTTTTAACGCATGCACAGAGCAGGGAGCGCATCGGGGATTTAAGTGCTGGAATATAAAACACAGCGCAGTGCTCATCACGCCAATTTGTGAAATGGGTTTGAAATGCATCTGAATGAGCTTTGACAGTACGGGCACAGAGCCAGCAAGATCAGCAGGATTTGTGCAACCACAGCAGGCCCGCAGAACTGGTGCAAAACTCAGCCAGCCCTGGAAGGACACACTCATTCATACGTTAGCAGATCAGTCAAGACTTTTTCCTGCTCCCAGATCTCCAGCTCTTTAGGGGTCCGGAAGAACTGGACTAAACTAAGGATTACCTGGATCCAGATATGAATGGCCCATGGCCTAAGAGGTGACCCAGCATAGGACTGTATTACATGAGCGGAAAAGAGCAACCATCCATGGCATCAAGCGCAGATCAGCTCACCAATGACCTTATGCATCAGTAGGCTTGTTATTACAGCTGGGTTCAGGGCGCATTTAAAGGAGCAAGGGTTGACAACAAAGGTGATCTAATGGCTTTCCCCAGCTCTGCTACAGACTCCCTACAACACCTTGGTCAAGTCACATCGTTGCAAGGTCTTCACCTGTGAAGTGGCAAAGCACCTTCCAATTTTAGCAGAGACAGGTGCTGTCTCTGGACACATCTACACATGGGGCGAGCCATATGGGGTCCTCATCTAATAGTTTCTTAACGCCCTATTTTAAATTAAATTGGAAGCAGAGGGAAGGGTGTGATCTGACAGTATGCTCTAGAGCAGTAAGGGCCAATCTTTCAGGCAGGCATGTCACAAATGAGCCCTGCACCCTCTCCAAGTGCCACTCTGATCTCCATGCCTGCCTTGGTTTTGGCTTCCTGCCCCGTGCTCCCTGCCTGATCTGCTGCTCTGCTTTCTGTCCTCTCTGCTGCTGTGCTGCCTGCCCCTGCCTTTCCCCACCCCCCAACCCCGATCTGCCATGTGTCGCACAGAGCTGCCCATGCCACTTCTGGCACCCATGCTGCAGGTTGGCCACCCCTGCTCTAGACCAAGCAGCAGCCCCATTCTGGAGCTGGGGCGAGGGGCAGCTGCAAGGATGCTTAGCTTTGAGCGTGAACTACTTTCAACCCAACAGACACCACTGCATCCGCCACCACCGCGACAGCCACTGCAAAACACCCTTCGTCAGGCAGCACAGGGGGTCCAGGCACAGGCTGGGCCCATGGGACTAGAAGGATTTGACACCCCTGGGCTAGATGCTGCAAAATTCAAGGCCAGACATTTGCTTTTCTAAAGAACAGGTCTCAGTACCAGAGCTACTGTGTCTGGTATGGAGCACTATTCTCTGCATATGACCAGGATTTAATACCCATGAGGAGTGCTTTCATGGTCCTTAGCCACATCACTAAGGAAGTTCGCAGTACAAACAATACCACCACCAGCAGGTCGGAGAAGGGTCCCTATGGCAGACCGACAAAGTCCTGAGGACAGAAGGAAGCCGACAGACGACCTGCTCCTATTCTGCCTGCAATCAGCTCATGCTACGATGAGTCCCATTCCTTTAAGATCAAAGAGCCGGAAGCAAATGGAAATCCTTACTTGCCATGTGGTTTCCCCCAACACCATTCTCCTTCGTACACCGCATTCTTGAGCCTGCCCTCCGTCTGGAAGATGTGCTTGAAACAGCGACAGATTGGAGGCTCGTTTCCTCCTCCAGCTTTGCTCCATAAAGGGAAGTCTCTCTTCCCGTTCAGCGCTTGACGCACCGCTTGACTCAGCTTCCACTGCCAGACAGCCTGGGGGCACAGAACGAGGAGAGGATTTGGGCTACAGAAGGAAAGGAGGGGAAAAAACTGCTCATGGCAAGATGAAAGTGCACAGAAGGCCATCTCCTGAGCCCCCATATAGTCTATCTACCACTGGGTGTCTAGTTTATCCATCATCTTCTGGTCATGTTGATTCAACACAAGGAAATCCCTCCTGGATATTCCTCTACAGCTCCAATGTTAAATGAAAGTGTTTAACACGCCATCTAAAAATCTGCCTGCCTTTAAAAGCAGGCTGGTTTGGGGAATGTAAGATTTTTTATTGGACCAACTGCGTAGCGGGAGAGATGACAGACAAACTCCCAACGACACAGTTGGCCCAATAAAAGAGATTACCCCTAAATCCATTGCTTCTCACATATTTCCTGGACCATCACGGCTCCAGACACCACTTCTGCTCTACTCCGCTGCCTGGTGGCATACATGGTCTTATAATCCGGAGGAGCGTGGAAGTCTTATCTTGACCAGCAAGAGCAATGCAAGGTGAGATGCCAGGGAAAGGAATTTGACGTCAAATTTAAATGTATTTTTTAATGTTAAAGCTTCAGTTATTTTTTCCCTCTCCCCTTATTGTTAACAATCAAGTCATCCTTGATACCAAACATATCACATCTTCAGAGCGGTTCTAGCACTGCACTCACCCTTATCTGTGGCTCCTTGGTGGAGAGGAAGAACGTATCTTCAGGGGTAATGATGCGGAGACTACACCTGCGAAGCACAGGGCAGGGTTAGGCGGGGATAACAGTATATCAAGCCAACCTGCAAGACTCGCTGCTTTTACGTGTTGAACCAATAAGCAAGTAACTGCAACCTGGGGCTTGTGGATGCCAGAGCAGCATTTTGTCTCAGCAAAGACAGACCACTGATAAACCCAGGAGCGCTCAAGTGAGGTTTTTCCAGCTCATCCTTCAAGCTAGCAGGAGAGTAAAAGCCTAAGAGTGGGTGTTGGTGCTGAGCCTGCTTGGAGTGGCCTCACTGATGTCCTTCTACGTTTGGAGTGTGCCTTTAGATGCAGAAAGGCAGGGGTATTCAGCCGCAACCTTGCCAGGTTTGGCCACTGGCGTGGGATTGATAGAGTCCTTTGTTAAAGGCCAAAGCAACCACAGCATCATCTAACCTGACCTTTTGGTATATCACAGGCACAGGATGCCATTTGGGTACACCTTCATGGAGGCTGACAAACAGATCTTCCAGCAAGGCTGCTAATCAAGGCCAGGTGCACTGAGATGAAGCAGGTCTTTCATCTTGGACATTCGTTCAGCCTCTATGTGAGATGAACATCTCTTAAAAGTTGTTCTTCTTGCTATGTCTGCTAGATTAAAGACTCCTTTACTACTCAGTGGGTGCATCTACACATGCACTTCTACTGCACAGTAACCAAAATCATTGCGCAGTATGGACACGCGTCTACACATGCAAGCCCATACTGCGCAGTAAATATGGTGACTGATGCTGACTTGAGTGTAAATTTGATACCTGCATGTTGTGGGTATTAAATTTATGCCCAGTTAGTTACTGTGAAGTAACACACATGTAGATGCCTTACTGCTCAGTAACACCGTGTGTGTGGACTGACTTGGGAGTAACTTTAGTCCCAAGTGGGACCACACACAGCGTTAATGTACTTTAACGCCTGCATGTGTAGACTCCAGCCTATTCCCACTTACTGCACAGTATATTTAAGCTGGTGTATATGCACGTGTAGACACACCCAGTATTTTCTTCCTGAGAATGTACTCAAAGAGCCCTTGAGTCATCTCAGTCTTTCCAAAGGAGCTCTTCTTTTTTTTAAGGTTATGCTTTGCTGGATGGCATTTTATCGATTAATTTTCAAGATGCCAATAAAAGCAAGCACTACAAAGGTATTAGCTGCCTGGAAAGCCACCTGAAATGTGTAATAATCTCATATCCCACACCCAGCTCCTGCTCATATAGCCAAGAAGAAGATGGAGATGATCTCAAACACCAAGCTAACCCCCTTCGCCAAGCAGAAGCATTTCACTCACAGTTCTGGGGCCGGCTTCTCCCCACAGGTTGCATCGACCCACAGGACCTTCAGATCAAAACTCTGAAAGCTGCTTCCCTGAGGGCCACACAAAGAGAAGCAGGTTGGTTAGGTTAGACAACATCACTCTGTCTTGGGCAGCACTGATAGAGCAGGTCTAGCTTGGCACCTCGAACCTCCCACTCCACCTTCTCACCCTGATCGTCTCATGCCAACCTGCATTGGAGCAGGGAAAGAAAAGGAGGGCCGGGCAGGAAGGGAATCAAGTCTATTCAGGGCTTTATTGCATATAATTTTCTAAGGTGAGCTCAAAACTATTGCAGGAAAGCAGGCTTTGGCATGAGTTTTGTGCCTTTTCCCCTATCTGGGTAGGTCTAAAGCCGCTAGTGCATAAACTACTTAGCTCAATGTCTAAGCTCTTGTATAACTCACGGTGTAGCTGTAGCAACAAGACCAAAGCCAGCTGCCCACCTATTTAATCAGCCTTTAGAGCAGGCTTGACAGCCCATGCTAGAGTCTATGCTACTCACAACTCTGCTTCCATCAGCACGTGACAGAGCTAGTTTCCATTTAGCTTGGGGCATATTTGCACAGGATGCTGTGAATACCCTGAAGACCTTTCCTTACATCTATTTACACCTAGATCTTGAAAACTTTTAACCACTTGCATAAGCATGTACAAATCTGCACCTAATATTAGCTCTCTTCTGGGCTAGCGCGAGGGCCAACAGTCATGCTGGACAGGCATGTACACGCCAACCAGCCAGGAGCCTGGATTTATTAGGAAAGTATCAGTGGCAGCAATACATTACTAGTGTGCTGGGGAAAAAAAACTATTCTGCTGGTGATCAGAAGTGAATCCAACTCTGCTGTAGTTACCAAATTGACAGGGTAGAAAGTCTTAGCATATGCCTACGTTGAAAAGAGTCCAAGACTGACTCACCTGAATGAGCACTAGGGCATCATTGAAGAGCAGTACCTGGTCAGACCGGCCCGTACTGGCAAAAATCGGAAGATTTTTGCTGTCCTCCAGCAGCTTGCGCTCAGGAAGACAAAGTGCATCCTGGAAAGGGAAGACAAGGCGTTTTATGAGAAAGAGGTGAAACCCTCTTACTCCTGATCAAGGGCATTGATTAGATTAGAATTAGAGCATATCTTCTTGAAGCAAGACTCCCAGAGAAGCCAGCTGAGGGTTGAGCAGTGGTCCTCAACCTTTCTAGACTCGAGGGAGCCCTTGAAAAATGCCAGCTCCTAGTTTTCACTTCTTTTTTCTTGAAGGGAAACTCCTAAAGCAATTCTTCCATTGCAAGGAACTCAGAAACCCCACAACAGGCCAGAAAGTTTTTAACACTGGATTCCTGTTTGAAATCTCTAGGTTTATCTAGCAACTCATGCTTGTGCAGCTAACATTGCATAGGTCTCCATAGCACCCTTGTAAGCATCCCAAGGCATCCCAGGGTGCATCCCTGTGCATATTCTCTAGACAGGGTGCTCTGGTGCAGGGATATTTTCCAATCATTGGATGCCTTTCTGTGGTTAGTTTGGTTTCCAGCTATCCATAGCTGCAGGACCCCTAGATGAGGAAGGTAAAATCAACAGAGGTTTAATTCCACCTTTGCTCCCAAGAACAACTGGGTTGTGTGTGCCTGGATGCAGCTGACCTCGGGGGCCTACTTCTAAACCACTTATAGGCCCAGAAAAAGCCACAATACTTCTGGTGTGTTCAGGGCTTCATTCATATTAAGGTTAGCCTCTTTCAATGGGAGGCAAAATGGCGACACCGGGAGCCTCTTACCCACTTCTCTTTTGAAACAAATTATGTATTTTCCCACCTACGAGATGTCCCCAAATAAAATATGCAACTTGTTTCTGAATAGCAGAATGAAGGGGTGGGGGGAAGAGATAGTCCCTTGAGTGTCTTCACTGGGGAGGAAAGAGAAAACATCCACGGACAGTAACTTCTGCTTTTTTGCTGGCAGAGACTGCCAGTGCCGGAAACTGCTTTTACCGTATTTCATGGATCATAATCTCCAGCAGCTGAATTTTGGAGGAAAGGTGTGTGTTGTATGTGGGAAGATATGGCACTTATCCAAATCCCTTAGACCCCATCCTGTGAGTTTACTTCTGGTGGGGCATGTCTACATGAGACACTTACTGCGCCTTAGCCTAATAACACTGCGCAGTAGCAGTGGCGTGGTGGTTAAAAATTGTGCAAATCGCCTACTGTGCAGTACTACTGGTAATGTGCAGTAGGTGTCACAAAATAAACATGTGCTGGCGCTATTGCGCAGTAAATGTAGTTACCGTGCATGTAGTTAGTACTTCATTAAGCAAGTCCTAAACTACATATGCAGCAACTAAGGCACATGAATGCATGTGTAGATGCCCCATGGAGACCCACTGCAAGAAACTTGCTTAGCTAGAGCCAGATCTTATTAGCAGGTTGCTGCTCCCAGATGAAGGATCATGGGATCAGAAAGCCAACTAGACAGCCTGCCCATGAGCCCCATATTGTGGCAAATGGTCATGTCCTGGGAGAGGAAGACCTGGGTTTTCTATAAGCCTCTGGAGAAGGTGGAGAAGGAAAGGAGTGAGATGGAGTAGCTGCATGGTTTGAACCCTTTAAAAGGAGGCAGGATGGTTCCTCTGGGAAGCAGGGTCCTTTCTCAATGAAGATGAAGCAGAAGGGAAGCAGGGCTCCTGGGATGGGAGGCTTGACAGGACTCGCAAGGACTGAGAAGGGATTGTTTGATGTGTTGGTGAAGGCGATAGTGGGAAGACCGGCACAGGAAACTTATGCTATCACTGGGAAGTAGGGATGTTAAATTTGACTATTCAGGAAAGCCAAATTAAATACTGAGCATTCTGGAGGTCACTGGGGATGTCTGAATGGACCCTGAGACAATGGCTATGGAAACTAACCCAAGATTGCAAGGACTTGCATAAAGGTGTCCACCATTATGGCTGCCTGGAATCATAAGGGAGGCCTTGCAATGATCACACCTTTGGTAAAGAGGAATGAAGCCCTCAATCACAGAAAATGAGGGCTGAAGGGACCTCAGGAGGTCACATCTAGTCCAACCCCCTGCTCCAAGCAGGACCAGCCCCAACTACATCATCCCAGCTGAGGTTTGTCAAGCTGGGCCTTAAAAACCTCCAAGGATGGAGAGTCCACCACCTCTCTGTTCCAGCGCTTAGACACTCCCCTACTGAAAAAAGTTTTTCCTAATATCCAACCTCAACTTCCCTTGCTGCAACTTGAGCCCATTGCTCCTTGTCCTGTCATCTGCAACCACTGAGACCAGCCCAGCTCCATCCTCTTTGCAGCCCCCCAGCAGGGAGTTAATCCACGGACGTTGCTAGTGCAAGCTCAATGCACTCTCCAGAACCTGCTGCTCTAGACCGCCAATAGGCCCACAGGATGCCAGAGACGGGACGAGCATCCGATCCATATTTATGACTCACTGTAAGTTTGTGCCCCAAGGATCTCCACAGGGCTTTGGTCAAACAGGCTTCATCCAGCACTTGGCTGATGAAAGACTGCAGCTCTGCATATTCCTTGATGGCACTGGTAATCAGGTCTCTCTCCGGGCACTGTTGAGCAGGGAAAAAGAGTTTAGGAATATTTCGGCATCCAGCATATCTACCCCTTCCTATGTCCAAACCAAAAGAGCAGCTATGAATTGCCAGCCTGCGATTCCCTGATCTCTTAGGAGACCTTGTGGCCTCGTCATTAGAGCAATGGGCTGTGGGTCAAGCCTCCTGGGTCCAAACTCTACTTCCAACGCATCTGTTACATTAGGCATTACTGTACCCCTATCGTCTGTCAGACGTACGACTCCAGAGCCATTTCACTCAGTATGTGGGCCTCTGAAGAGCGTCTGGGCATTTGGATGCTGCCAAATTCCCAGCCAGAAAGCTGCTTTGGGGATGCATGTTGGCAGTGGTAGGGAATGAGTGACAGCTGCATTAACCCCTTCACCACTACCGCCAAGGAGCCCCATGGTCTGGGTCTGATAAGAAACCCATTTGAATTAACAACTTTGGTCTATGTGATGTGGGTCCGATCTTTTTTCTCTTATATGACCAAGACTTTTACTGTAAAATGCTTAAAGACGCTCAAACAGAACAAATAACTCACACTGATAAAGGACCACCACCTGGGAAATCCTATTAATAAGCATTTTGGTGCAGATGTAGGTCATCTTTGTTATCAAAGCCCCACAGGTCTGGAATGAGACTATCCCGGCATGCGAAGGTTAGTACCTTTCCGGTGGTCTCGCTCAACCTGGTAAGGATGAGGGAATACTGCTGGACGTGCTCTCGGATGGGTTTCTGGAGGATGGTATGCAAGGCCATGGATACGGAGGTCTCTGGGATCCCATCTGTGAGAAATTGCTTCAGCACTGTCTTGTGATTCTTCCAAGCTTCACTGTGGGATTGAATCACAGCACAACTTCATTATCCAGTGTATTATTCAGCCCCCCACAATGAAGAGCTCTGTTTTTTTCCATCTATCTAAATGACGAGGCGACACGGCAGCCTTGGGAGATTTTTAGAGGACAACTCCGGTGAATATACCACACGACAAGCGTACGGCATTCAGGCCGTGTTATAGTCCAGCAAGCCAGCCGCTGGACTGCAGGCCAATAAGGTACACCTCTATTAGACTGCCACTGAGCTGCTGTTTAAGCTTGGGGTGGGGGGAAATCCCTTTGCAAAGGAGGGCAAATCAATTGAAAGGTGCTCCCAAAATAGTACCCACTATAACATTACTTCCCCATGGACTGAATTATACATGAGGGACAATACAGCAGCAAACCAAAGCTGATCAAACAACTCAGATTAAACCCTAAAACCAGAGGAGTTCAGTTTTTGTGTCTTCGTAGTGGCCTTTTTGATAGTGCTTGGACAATGGTTGGCACCATACTGCAAGAAAACCCAGGACGTTCCTGGCCCCAGCATCAGGGGTGTTGAAACCCAGTAGACTAGAGACAATTCTTCTTTAGTCGCTCACTGAACAAAACTGATCAGGAACCAAGACAAAAGGCAAGTTATGCGTGCAGCATCAGGAGAGAGGGAGTTGACAAAGCAGGCTGCAGGTCTGCACTATTCCTTCAGGCAAATCCAAAAAAACCCTCCAAAAAACAACTTTCAAATAGGAGGAGAAAGCCTTCTGTGTGACTTTTACAGGCCTGGTGAGAAATTCTCAGTCTTGGGGGTTCCCGACAGTCCATCTGGAGAGACACTGAGTGCAGTGAAACTGGTCTAAACTGAAACCTGTAAAACCTGGACACCTGCTCAAGTCTGAAAACTCCTACTGTCCTGGCTTGCCTGTGCACAACTCCATATTTTTAGTCTGCATAAGCTGGAAGCTAACATGGAAATGGAAAGGCAATTTGAAACCCATTTATAGAGACACCCTGCATATCTTGGGAAGTATGTACATCGTAGGTTGTGCGCATGTGCACGTGTGCATAGTTTGAGTGCAGTGCAGAGGGGGCTGGGAAGCTCCACTTCTCAAATTGAAAACTTGAAGCCAGGACTTTTTTCCCTGTGCTCTGTGTGTCTCTGTCGTAGACAGATTTATTTGAGTGTATCATAAAACCACTTTCCCTTATAAGATCAAGTCTAAAAGGGCCAAGTGTCCATTGGTTCCATCGTCTGATTCCTTCCCACAGTTATTTTGCAGGAAAAAAGTCAGATTCAGTCTTGTTCATTTATGCTGGCCCCTAAATCATTGCTATTAAAAGGACTGTTTGGTTGGGCTCTCCCCACCGTACAAGTTGAAAAGTTGCACAAGACGTAATCAAGTTGCTCCATTTGGGCTCTTGTCCCAAAAATTAAGATTATTCATTCTGGGTCCTAAGCCTTTTCATCTTCCTATTCTCTGCCTCACTTCTCAGCCAAATTTCCTGGTAGGTGTCAGGACAGGGAACCATATAGGATCCTTTCTCACCAAGACAAGGATGGGACACAACCACTGACTGGTCCTTCTCCCGATCCAAGAATAGCAGCATCCTCTTGCTACCATACGGTGATGCACTAAGCACCATCTTCTGAGGCATGATATCTCTCCTTCCCACAGAGGATCCAAACACTCAGTTGAGTCACTTTATTCTAGTTAAGACATTTCATGCTGTCGTGTTGAATACAGTGCTTAGAAGCCATCGCACTTCAATATCTACCTCAGTGGTTCCTAACCTCAGGCAGACTGCGCACCGCCGATTTAAAACAATGCAACCTTCAGCACCACCAGCAATTATTTGTCATGTAAAGTAATTATAATCTGTTCATGCATACCACGGACAGGTTGTCTGTGTAATAATGGTGGGACATGTACTGCCATTTGGGAACTGCCACGCCTTAATACTAGCGTTGAGTACTTATTTGCAAGTTAACAGAAACCTTATCAAAATCCTTCTCCTCTAACCAAGCCTATCAGCACTGACACCTTGTATTGACCATTCTTGCAGAGGAGACTAGCATCTCCCCTACACTACTATTAGGTGTACCACTTGGACTCATCTTTCAGGACAGAAGCACATCAGCACCACTACACTGGGATCAGGGAGGATCAAGCCACACACAGCCTGGTGTTGTGCCAAAATGAAGGGGGCTGTCTTAAAAAGGAAGCAGCTTCTCACTTAGCCCCACCTAAATGTCCCAGGAACTGGATCAGTTCAGCCTGGTGAGATGAAGGACTTCATTACAGGAGTAAGAAAACCCACAGCCTGTCCAAGCCTGGAGAGAGAGAGGGGCACGTGCCCAAATCCACCAGAGAGCTCAGACAATCAGACTTGAGTTCAGTGTGAGCACAGGGTCTTCGGTGGTTCAAGATATGATATTCAAGGTGCATGAAATAGCCTGAGAGCCACAAAGGTGGCACGATATCGTGAAGCAGCAGGCACCACTTTCTAGCTGTGGCAGATGGTTTTAGATAAAGACAGATGGTGAACGTGACCAAGTTTGGGAAGTGGGGAAGAAGCCATGTGTTTAAAGCAGAAGTCATTCACCCTGGTGTGGGTCAAGATGGTGTTGTTATGACTCAGCATGGCACCACAATGACACAGCAACTAAATGCAGAAGCAACCTGCATGGAAGTTGGCGGGACATGCAGACTCACCGTGACATTGGGATCACTTCAAGACAGGACCCCCATGCCACCTCTTTGATAAACAGGCTGGGTCATGAGATGATGAAGCCCTTTCTCCCCATATATCATCGGTGCCTTGCTCACTGCCTCTCTCTTATCAGTCATGGGACCCCAAGACCAGCCTAAAAGTCCCACTCCATTATAATTCCGCCATTCAAAATGGATTTATTACCTTAATGCTGGACAGGGGATCAATGAGTCTAAGCCACTAACCTCTTATTCTTTGCAGCTTGGTCAAAGCTCTGGACTACAACACAGTTTGAAAAAGTTGTGAAGTACCTGTTGATAACAAAAACAAAAAAAAATACAGACAAAGTTAAGTTAGGACTTAGCTACCAGCTTTCAACAATGCTGGTGGTGACTTTGAAAGTCTGCGCCAGCTCACTCCATACCTAGAGAGGCAGATGGAGACAGGGCCCACCACGTCCGATCTTGTAACTCACTCCACAGGTTTCACCCACATTAGGTCCTCTCCAGTGTCTCCCCACCATTAAGATATTCTCCTGACACTCAACCTAACACCCCTTGTGCTCATACAACAGCAGCCCTAAAGAACTAAACTGTGGGGAAAGGACTACAACCCCAGGTCTATACATACAACTTTCTGTCACTCAGGATCAAGGGCCAGGTCTGCACTCAACACAGACTCAAAGTAATGTGCATGGTTTTGCCACTCATGCTTTGTCAAGAGTGTGCAATGGGGAGTGTCACTAGGTATTTGAATTACTCTGGCTATTCTGCCAGGAATTTAATCAGCATTTGTTAGATCCATTCCCATCCCACCTCCTTCTTGCTGCTTTCCAGAAGCTTGAAAATCCATGGGCTTTGTAATGGGGTGCCCCCCTAAGGCACATGCACACACAAGGGCACACTAAAGTCAGATCCATCTGATCAGGACAAAGGCCACAGGTGTCAGCACAAGGGCTAGGCAGACAGCCAGATGCTGTTTGGTGGGAAACACAGGAATTAAGATTTTTCAGTCCAGAATGAAAATGGTTTTTGGAAACGAGATTCCAGATGTCTTTGAGGAGGCTCAGCACATTGAATTCCAAGCTTGACCTTTACACACACACACACACACACACACACACACGCACGCACCACTTTTCAATTCCTTTTTGACACACACCACTTTTCAATTCCTTTTTATACAAGAACAATGAGCTTTGCTTCCAAGTCGACTTCCAAACATATCTGAAGTTTTCTGCCGCAAAATTGCTGAAATCAGGAGATTTCAACACATCATAAAAAAGGAAGATCCCACCCCATACACACCCACACACGCAAAACAGAACTGCTGAAAGCAGCACTTCTTTATTTTGACCACAACCCACACAAACTCAAATTGAAAAAGCCACTTAGTCCTTGGTTAAAGTCTAATACTGGGAGGAGGGAGGGAGTCTGCAGGCAGATGTTGCTCCCAGTCCAACCTGCAAGCTCAGGCCCAGTTACCTAGATAAACTCAGGCAATACCAGGAGTAGGTAGGGTGTAGTATCATTGTATCGTTTGTAACCTAGTCGCGTTCCCCTCCTCTCCCCCATCCCTCTATTGTTAGTCCCTCGCTCGGGCGCTTTGTATTTCCATATCAGCTTTGTCATCTTTTTTCTGGATTCCCAATCCAAAACATCTACTAATAAAAGTCAATCTATTGCTAAGAACATCTCTATCGTGTAGCACACAGCAGTGACCAAGCTCTACAGTTCATCTCAGTTGACAACTGAAATCATAGACCATAGCAGGGTCCCAAACCTGCTAACACTTATTCACACTTACCACTGACAGCTGTGTTTCAACAAGTCCTAGCGATGGTTGTTACTCCATCATGACGTGCTACAAGCCAGTCTCTCAATAGACATTTCCATCTACCCACACATCCTCCTCCTGTAAACCATCCCACTGTGATCCCAGCAACACCTTTATGGGCTCGTGGCTCAGAGACATAGATTATTTCCCTGACACTCCAGGTTTTTTTTAAATTTCTGGCGCAAACATGATCACGAGAACATAAGTAAGCTAAACCTTCTCAGAAGCAATAGCCATTGCTAGAGAGAGGACACCCATTAGATCACCCAATGCTAATCCTATAGTCTACCGGTCTGCTCCTATAAGCTACCCTGCAAAGACATTATCTATACTTACTGGATGTAGTGCCTGAGAAACAGGTCTGCCTTCCAAATGATGTAGATGTCTTGGATGTGGAAGGACGTGGATGTGCTGAACTTCTGCCGTAGGGCTCGGTGGTGGTCCTCCGTCACGTCCCAGAGAGCATGGAATCGGTCATTCAACAGCAGCAAGAGTTTGAAGTTTTCTTTTCCTTTCTGATCATAAGGTTCTTGGAAAGAGGAAAGGGGGGAAAGGACACCACAATGTCTAGAGCAGGGGTTTGCAACCTTCTTCAACTTGAGGGACCCCTGGGAAATGTCAGCTCTTAGTTTTCACTCCTTTTTTGACTACAGAAAAGTGATAGAGCAGGGTTGTTTTTTTTTTCTGTTGCAAACAACTCCAAAAAACCATAACTGTGGCTTTCTGTTTGAAACCTCTGGGTTGATCTTGTGAATCAAGTTGGCAAACCTGAGAGTGCCAAAGTTGTGTAGCACCCCATGACACCCTTGGAAGGATCTCAAGGAAGCCGGGCGTGCTGTGGTGTCCTGGTTGAGAATCGCAGGTCTAGAGACTTCATGTAAGGCACAGATAGGACTGGAAGGGATGGCAGGGTTTATCTATCTAGCTCGCCCTGATGCACACAGTAGAGTACATTAATCTATTTGCCAATACATTTGATGTGTCTTCATATGCAGACAGGCATTTGACACTCTGACTTGTTGCAAGAGGTGTCCCTGGGCAGTCCCCCAGCCATTAGGCACATTTGCATAGCTCCATTGATGTTTATGGAGCTGTTTATACTGGCTGAAAACCTGACTCCATGGGTTATATTCCCACACCAGAGTAAGACAGGAGAAACACAGGGGAGGGGACGTTGCCAGGAGTGAACTGTCAGGACTCCACTCTCCAGACTTAAGCAAGTCTGAAGGCAAAAGCAAGACAGTGGATGGCATTTAAACCAGGACTGTCGGTGGCCGGGAGAAAGGAAAGGGTCACTGTTTTAGATGCGCCATGTCTCTGATGATCTCACCATACCTCAGCTTCCAGTAGAGCAAGAGAAAGCGCCTCATGGTCCCAGAAAAAGGCTTGCACCGGAGGTCACTCATAACCTACCAACCTCACTATCCAGTTTGGGTCTAAACGACATTTATTCCCATCCCCTCCTACAAAAACCTACCCAACAAGCTCTGCATTCAGATGACAAGCAGCAAATAATTATGGGAAGAGGAGGGGGCTTACCCGCTTGCAACATGGGCTTGAGAATGATGGAGTCGATCCGGGCTAGACACGCCAAGAAGGTTTCTTCCGCTCGCAGAAGTGACGTTATGCCTTCAGCAGTGCCCATGTCCTAAATGCAACACACAAGAGCTTTACAGAGACCCCAAATGATTCATATTGCAGTCCTTCCTATAGCCCAAATTTGTCCTTCATGCTTGGTGTTGCCCAGTCCCTACCCTAGGAAGCAGTCGGACACACAACACTAGTAGCATATATTAGTTGCTCTGGGACTTTATAGGAAGGAGCGAACATACAGAGGCTTGCAGTAGAAGCTGTTACAATAAGTGGGGAGTAGCCCAGTTTGCTTGGAGCAAACTCTCCTCCAGGATTAAACGGACTAGAGAAGCAGACACATGGCACTTGCAAGAAGTAACTTTACCCTGCGTCCAAGTGAGTCGCCGTGTAGTAGGGCCCGGTGTTGAAAAGTCGAGCCCAAGTTATTTCTACAAGTGCTAAATTCACATTCCCAACTGAAACCCATGTATGCACAAAGCAGCCACACTGAGCATCAGACCACATTTCCTGCCTCAGATTATCTAATGCTAGCATGCAAAAGCCCAGCTCCGCTGGAAGCCAGAAGACACCTCTACATTACCACAAAAGCCACCTACCACCACGGCAGCTCTACCCACATCCCACTTCTTCAGGGGAACAGAAAACCTCCCCTCCTCTTCTAAGCACAAACTAGCTACATCCGGCACCCGGGAGGATTTGCCCAAAAATGGAAGTACCAAGCCGCAGCGGTGAACCCACATGAACGCATTCCCAGGGCTTCCTCCTTTTCTAGACACAGATAAACAAGCTTGAGAAAGCAAGCATTGCCAGCTAACGTCACAGAAGACTAGCAGGGAAAAGAGCCAAGGGAAAGAAATGCAGGGTGTGGTTTGCAGATATTGCTAACCAGAAAAAAAAATGCAACTCTAAGGGCATGGACAGATGTACAGAAGGAGAGAAATGGCCTTTAAGGAGCACAATTCAGCATTAGCTGTCATGGTGTAAGTGTTTCATCTGCCTATTCCTAACCTGCAGCAATTTACCCCCGAATGAAACAGGGAGGAAAGTTACTGCAGTTTAGTTTCACTTGGGGGGGGACAGATGGAAGAGGTACACCTGACTCAAATGGACAGCAGTAAGCCGTCTGCCTTTCCAGCCCCTGTCCTGTGCTTTGAGATCACTTCCATAAGAAGAAGCACCCGTACAAGCCTTTTTTAATTGGTGTGAAGGCAAGCAATGAGGAGCTGCCGCTTTGAATTTGTCCCAGATTTGCAGCATTGTGCAGGGATCAGGAAACAGCGGGTTCCCCCTTGCAGGCTGGCAGCACTCCAGCCTGCATGGGCTGCTTGGGGCTGCCAGGAGTGGGACACAGGGGATGCCAAGTGCATGTGCGGGCCCGCACACGTGCATGTGGCCAGGAAGGCAGCCGAGCAGCACAGAGAGCAGCTCCCTGCAGGTAAGTCTGTGGGAGGCCCCCACGGTGAGGGAGGCAGTGGGGTAGGGGCAGGGCAGTGTGTGCAGCCTGGGGCTGGGATAGAGCCACAGGTGGCTCATCCAGGGGACACGGGGAGCATATGCCCCTAAATTTATCTGTGGGGCGGAGGCAGCCCACTGCAGGCTCAGGGCTCCCCACCCTGTTGCTTTTGCCCTCGGAGACCTGTCCTGTCCATGTACCCCGTGCCTGCCCAGCAGCAGTGGGGGCAGTGGTGGCATGGAGTTGTGTCCCCCACTGCTGTGGGGTGGGCAGGGGGCTCCCAGGGCAGAAACAACAGGGCAGGGAGCCCCGAGCCTGCAGCAGACAGTCCACATCCGCCCCTGCTTGGCTCTGCTCCTGCTGCAGTAGAAAGGGGACTGGGGGGGAGAAGGAGAGGCAGGCACGTGTCCCCCCTTTCCATTTGAAAAGGTGGTCAGCCTGCATGCAACAAACACACCCACTCGCTGGAAAAGGTGCTGAGGCAACTGCGCCCATCCAAATGCACTTTGCTACCCTTTTTCATTCACTCCCCCCCTCCCCCAACACCTCTATATTATTTAAGGAGAAACTCCATTTTTTTTGCCTAGAGAACTTCAGCCTGTTCAGCAAAGCACTTCTGCTTCAAGACTGAGAATCAGAGTATAAAGCTGGTGGGGAGAACTTTTAATTTTGCTTTCTAATGCATTTTGGCCAAAGCAATCAGTCTGCTGAGAGAGGCTAGCTTCACAGAGCGAACGGACGGTTATGTGTGGTTAACAAGCAGAGATTTGAAATCAATAAGAGCTTCCTTTGTGGGATGAAAGGTCATCCTTTCAGACGCCTCTGCTACAAACCACTCCAACATCCCTTGACATGTCCTTTAGAGCACACACTGGAAATTAAGTACATCTGGTGCCTCCTTTCTGCCCTGCAGCCATCGGAGATAAGCCAGAGGCTGGATGTCAAATCTGAATGACCTTCCTCGAGCCCTCACCACCTGCAGCATTGGCAACAAACCTGGGTTGTCCAGGGCTACGATTTCAGTACTCTTCCCTCTCCCATACTCCGTTAGTACCATCCACTCCTCTGAGGAAGGGAACTCAAGTTCATGAAAGCTTGTGGGTGCTCTCTCTATTGTGCATGTGGCAAAAGGTCGGGTAGATACGCACTTTACAGACCAACTACTGTACATAAGAGATATATGTGTGTATAATGTACATACCATGTGTGTGCATGCATACATATATACCTATCTATATATACATATCTACACACACGTGTGTATACAGTATATATCTGTGTGTGCATGTTTATGCATATATGTATATGCATATGTAGGTGTGTATATATACACGTGCATGTGTGTGTATGTTTGTCTATATACGTGTGTGTATATATGTGTGCACATGCATGCACGTGCGTATATATGTATATATATACGTGCACGTGTACATATGTATGTGTGTATGTATATACACGTGTATATATGTTTGTCTATATACATGTGCATATGCATGTGTATATATGTGTGTATAGATGTCTGCACGTGCATGTGTGCATATATGTGTGTGCATGTGCATATATGTGTGTGTGTATACAGATTTGTATATATATGTGTGTGTGTGTGTGTATGTGTGTGTGTATGAGATTATATGTACACACACACCCCTATTTATTTAGTCTATAAAGTGCAATCTCTACCCTGTCTTCTGCCATTCATTCAGCCAGCATTTGGTGAAGTTTTAAAGCAGCCCTTCTTCCTTCACATGCAGCTGTTAACTGGCAAGGTCATATGATCTAAGGAGACTAAAATGATAATGGAAGGAATTCAGCCCCCCTTTCTTAAGGTCATGAGTTGGAGTCATTTACTGGAGCAATTATTTGAGTATGTGTTTACTCACCCCTAGACAAAGGGGATTTCAAAGCAATTGCTATTGTGCCATCCAAATGATGACTCAGGGCTGAACCTTAAATAGCCAAGAGGGGGCTGGGGCAAGCAGAGGTCACATCCAGCATTTGCACATTTTAGGAACTGAATGGGAGCTGCGGCAGAGCTGCGCATCAGCAGAGTGCCTGGACAGAGGGTTCACAAGACTCCCTTGTTCTGCCGAATTAATAAAGGTAACATGGGCTAAGCATCCCCAGTCTGCTGAAGTCTGCTCCTGGCATTATTAACCGTTTGCCTTCAAATGCATGATGAAATCTCAGTCACCCATGGGTTAAGTTGCTTTATGGTTCTGATTGCCGTATTTTCTGTGGTTCTTACTTTCTGTATGAGTCCACCTTAATAATACGGCCGTAAATTCTGGCTTTTCCAGTTGCGTGATTTAGCACTGGGGAGAGAAGATGGAAGGATAGGAGTAGAGGGAGCTTCCCAAACACATTGCCCTACCTCAATCCTGCTTGGGAACTGGATGGATAGATGATGGGGAGCTTTCTCGGAGGTCATCCAACCTCACAGCTCACCAGGTTTTTGGCCTCTCTGCTGAAGTATGCCAGGTACCCTCTGGCACCAAGAGGTGAACCAAGACTGAGTCATCTTCCTGTGGCCAAGCATCCATTAGAGAAGAACAATCCTTGATCCAACCTGAGCTGGTGATCAGGTCCTATTGTATCAGGATCAAGGCACAGCAGAGCTGTCAAACATGCGCATCAAGATGCAGAGGCCTCGACAACCCTAAGAGAGGTGAGCAGCATACTAGACTTGTTCTGCGGAGATCAGAGAACAATACAGAGAGGCATGTCCAATATTATTTTCAGCAGAAGAGATGAAGATTTTGCTTTCCACTAATTTGCAATCCTATGCCCTATGCCTCTTGTTCCATTAGCATCACTACTGGGAAAAAAACCATAGACATCAGACAGGATTCAAAGCCTCTTGTTGAGTTGCTTATCATCACCTGTTCTGTTACCTTCTCACCTACGATGACTTCTTCAGACGGGGACCATCCGCTCTCAGCACAAAATGCCCCACTTCTGCCCTTGAATCCTTGCTTTATCTCAGCTGCATTTCCAAATCAAGTGGAGCTTGATGCTTCAAAATCATCCCAGACAGAACTCATGGTCCATGGGTAGAAATAGCACCAAGTCCCTTAGCGTCTAGGCAAGGTGGGAGGTATCCTCCATCCAAAGCAGGGGTGCCAAGAGCACATCTGTCCCCAGCACTTTCTTTGCTTTAAACTCCCCATGTGAAACGTCACAGCTCCACCCCCTCCTGACTCATTTGTCCTTGCAAGTCATTGCACCATCCCAGTGCTTTCTGCTCCAATGACCGCCAATTCATCAGCTTTAGTTCACCCACTTCTCAGACTGCCCACAGTCTCATTCCCATCCCATACTAGGCATATGCACCATCCTCCCCGAGCTGGGGGATACCGCTCACGTGACCCTCTGGACAACCCAACCTCATCAGCACCTGACAAGGAATGGGCCCGCTTCATTTCTCTTGAGCCAGCTCCTCACCTCCCTAGAGGCAGGGGTGAGGACCCGTCGAGTCAAGCTTGGCGCTGGTGGAGAGCATCAAATGCAACTAGGGAGTTTTACTATGGGCATTTCTTCACGGCAGAGTTAGCTCGAGGCTCGTACTGAGGTGTTGACCCTAAAAGCTTGTTACCCGATTACCA